ATAGTCCTGTTTCGATGGTCTGGTCCAAAAACTGAAATGAAGCGTTGGTGGCAACCATCACAGTCTATCTCTACATCCATGTGCGTGGGAATTGCATTGAGCCTGGAGCTCCAATTATGGGAGAGAGAGAGAGAGAGGGAGAGAGAGAGAGAGTTAAACCATTCCAAAAAACCAAAAATTCTTAGATTTGGCAACTTGACCTCATTTCAAATCTGCATAGCTTTGGGATATTTTGATTTCGCTCCATCCAACACGTCGAATGACCCCAAACATGCGGTTAAATCGGTTAGCATGCGGATCGGTGATAAATCGGTTAGCATTAACCACATCGCTTTTTGAATGGTAGACTTCGTGTGAAAACAGCCGCGCGCCCTGCTATGGTCTGCCGCTCCGCTACGTCGGTAACAGGAACTGACTGCAGGAGTCAGCCAGCCCGCATATAATAGGTAAACACGGCCAAGCAGCCTGCGTACAGCTGGGAAACAGAGCTAAGCAGCATGCATACAGCTGGCAACTACGGTTAGGATAGACCATTGCCGGCTAATTCGCCATTGTACCTTTGCGCTCAACCCAAAAATGGTCACAGTAGCCATGCCATTGGGTAATGAGAGCGCCACAGCTTGTAACGCTGACACTCCAAAATAAGCTATCGAACAGACAGAGGACGCTGCTGTCATATGGATATACCTTACAAATGGTAGTTTTGCCATCGACGCCAATTATAGTCCACCAAATAAAAACATGGATGTCAAAACCGATAAAACCGGTTAATGAAATGTAGAACACGGTATCTGCAGCAGGTAACCAATTTACAATCATGCTGTCATAAAGCGCTCTGTCAAAATACACTAGCGGTCGAGATAATCGACGGCGAGGAAGCAAAAACGGTCTGAAGCTCCACCTCAGCGGTTTACCGCCAATTAAAGGCCGCGAGGCGCCTGAATGAGAACGAGACCTGGAGGAGTTTTGGTTCAAACACCTACAAAGTGCCGCCTTTTAACCTTTCGCCGTCGGAGCGGGCCGCGGTCGGAGCGCGCGGTGTAAAGGTGAGCCGGGTGAGTCATCGATCGGGCGGCGGGGGGAGACGCGGCGACCGTGCGATGAGGCCGCGCAAACCCGGCCCGAGCGAGCCGCGGCACGCCGTCACTGCCGCCGGCCCACGGCACCAGCACGGCCGGCCTGACAACGCCGCTGTCAGATTATGGGCTCGAGTCACAACATTCGTCAGCGCAGCGTCTAAAGGTGCGAGGGACGCGGTCCGAAAGTGAGAAGTTGGTGAGGACAAGCAGGGAGAAAGAGAACAAACAGATAAAGATGAGACAGGTTATGTAATAAACTGAGGCAAAAGCGATCAAATTGCGTGCTAAAGGCACCCACTTTGACATGTATCACAGCGGGGTGTGTTCTCGTATTGCAACGGATGCATAGATCGCATGCGGCACGACATTGTCGTGTGTCTTAACATTTGAGCAGCATGCAGGACCCATAAACTTACGCAATTTCTGGCTTGCACGCACTTTATCTAGCCACCCGAGTCCATAAAGACTCCCAGTCAATATGCGCCAGCCCGCAGCCGATTTCTGGACGTTGACGTCATTGATGCACAAATTGCCGGTTACGGAACGTTTGCACTTGAAAACCATGCTTCGAAATAAACTCGGATCCTCACAGCATTCCAATAACAAGGCAAAGCCAGAGCTGAGCTGCCTATGACAGCAACGCACCATTTGCACTCTGCCTGTCCTGCGTGCCCAGTACGTGTCGGCCTCGGGGTGATCGCAGCACGTGCGTGCACCAGTCCGAGCGGCCCCGCCCCGATCGCACGTGCGCCGCGGCCGAGTCACCAGCCGTCGGTACTGCGTGCAGCCGACTGTACTGCCACAGAAGCGTGCTGCACGCGGTGCGGGGCGCCGCGCCTGGCTAACCCGACCCGGCTCTGCTGCCTTCGCCAGCAAGGTCTGCGGATTAGCTGGGTCACGACGAGGCGCTCGCCATAGCCGAAGGCGAGCGGCGGCGCCACTGGACCTTGCATACCCATGAGGCAAGGATGCAGTACTTTCTCCTGCAATCTGTTTTGCATCTCAGGTGACGTAAGACGAATATAAGCAAACGATCGTACGCATTTATCATTGTCCACATAACACGCAATGGTCCATACCTTGCAAGGTTGCGTTGAAAGTTGGAAATCCCCATGAGAGGGGTTTGTCTTTGAATGCAGAAACAGAAAGGAGTGTCATGTTAGCGCAGGCCCCGATGCTGCGATATCTTCAAGGCATGCGGCGCTGCAGCGTGGTATACAGGGGATACCAAGAGAACAAGCGCCTACAGTAAGATGCCTGCAGGTCCGTCCAAATGCGTCATGATTGCCTTGCACACGCACAAACGCGATCTCCTCTGGGATATTTGTAATGTACAAATGGACCGGAAGCGGTTTTTGCAAAGCAAATATGGATCCGATGTAGACACAGGTGGTTGTTGTAGCCACCTACCAATACTGTCGCTTCGTTCCAGCCTGTGGAGTTACAGGGAGTTTAAAGATACTCAGAGCGGGCTAGCTCGATACCCACTGCTTCAGTGATGCTGTTCAGTGGGACAGGCACCGTATGCGTTTTCTATGCGTGCTATCCACAGTTATATACTGGTGCTTACGTACCACTCACGTACCCCAGGCTGGGGCAAGTTATGTAACTCATTTCAGCCATGTGAAGATGGCAACAGCTGGAGCATGTAATATGCTCTGGCATGCTTATGTTATATCAATATTGCATGCCATGTTTTCCTATGTCATGATGATTTGTGTGCTCCAACACAAACGGCATGAATCTATCAAGTGGAGCCCAGCCAGTCATGTTCAGCTGTGTAAATGTCGTTGCTGAGTACTGCTATGCATTAGCAATATTACCTGTGCATCTGCTATGACATAAACTGACAATATACTCAGACGACCAGACGTTGTCAGCTTGACGCCATTTTGAAGCACGCTTGGGACGCAATGGCCGGGCCTAAACGAATGCACGCAGTCTGTGCGGACTATTCGTCCGCTTGTGCCAGTATCAACCATAAGCTTGTCGCAAAGTTCCATGCCAGGAAACGTGAGGGAGCCTTCCGAAACAGCCGTCTGCGATTACTCCTGGGTGCAATATTACAAGCGTGATTGCAGTTGATGGGTCGCATGAAACGTAAAACGACGTTGATGGGTCCCGGTCCCATCTAAAATTCCAGAAGACAGCTATGTCTGGCCCGTTGTTATTCTATTCTCACAGCTGATATTTAGCTCCCCACCACATTTCAGCGTAATATAGGTGCTGATGATACAAAACTGGAAATCGGATCAGCTGCTAAGAGGTTGTGCGTACTCTCCAAATGGACATCCACTCTCCGGTCCATTGGTTCTGTAATTAACGGCTGAAATCGAAGACGATTTAACTGAATGTATTACCTTTTACCTCGCTAAAATCCCCATTTCGGCAGCATGTCAACAATGCTGGGGTGCAGTGAGATGACAAGCGTAGTTGAACATGGTTGTGCAATGATGTACTTCCGTAATTCAAGCTTATTTGTTCTCCCACAGAGACGCTGCAGTGTTGAAGGCCAAAAGCACGCTAGTCCCACTTCCCCACGGCGCCAGGGTGCCGCCCTGGTCCAATGGCGTTGAAACCACGATATTCTAAGTGCCTTCTTTGCAAGCGTTGGCTCTGCGATTGCTACAGAAATGCTACTGGGTTGAGAACCAGACCCCATCTGACGGAGGTCCAAACGAAACCCGCACGCCGCTTTAATCCCGGCTGGCTTGTACTTACTTCCGGCCAAGGTTATGGCAGCCTTAAGTGCAATTATCTGGTGACGCACGTCGGGCTTTTTTCATCTACATTAGTGTAGTAACATGGCGTGTTTCTATCCACAATCAGCTTTGTGAACCACTCAACAGCTCAAACATTTTGCACTCTTTTAAATATTAGCATGAATTAGGGAGATAGACCTCCCACGCTCTGGCTCATGAGACTTCTATGTGCTGCAAAAGAAGATAAAACGGACGACACACATCAGTTAGGGAAGCTAAATTTATGATGAGCCATGAGTACATCCTGAACTTGGTTGTGTCTCGCAGTTTTGGAAAGCAAAACAAAAGGCGTTGCAATGACGCTGTGACCTGGAAATCGTTAACATAATCATCAGTAACGCCGGGAATTGGCAACTATTCACGCCATTAATGGTAACACAGGGATCTGGAATATGTCATTCAGTTAAATACGACACCGGCCCTGGCAGCAGACAGGCACGCATTCTCCGAACAGCTCACCTCATTTGGTTTTCCCCAGGCACGTGCCGTGTGACCACAGGCACGCGCGCGTTATGCCTGTTGTACTTCACTATTGCGTTCCGCGGAGCACTCCTACATCTCCGGAGGCCCTCAAAACCCGACCACCAGCCTCTACGGCGACCCACTGCCACACCGGTCAGAGTCGTTTGAACGTATCGCCCGTGCGCGGCCTAGTGGGGCAGGAGCCGCCGAGCTCCGACTCGGGACACTGGCATCTAGCGGCCATGCTCAGAATTAATGATTCGCAACCGGAATGACACAGACGGCCGCTGGTTTCGGGCAAGACGATGAAGTTCGGCTTAGACGTTCGGTCATTGGAACGTCTCATATTTAGGGTGATGACACGCGCGAATGTGTCAGCGCATGCAGCAGGAAAGGTTCTGCACACACTCTTAACGGATTGTGCAACCTAATGGATACTTCCCAAAGTCATGTTCCAGGTAATGGAAGTGCGCACAGTATCTAGGATGTCAGTTTAGGTATGTCTAAGATGCATGTCTAAGTTTGTTCGTACAGGTTTGGGTAGATTACTTTTGGATGGAATCCCTTTCTATACCAAGCCACATTGGCGCAGCTTCTGGGAAAAGGAAATACGTCCTGTCATACAGGTGCTGCCTGCCGGTCGTGCGGAAGGAGCGGCAAATGGCAGACATATTTGCCTTAATCAAAACTGCCATACCTGAACTTGTTGCTCAGTGTACCCTGGACTGACGCCAGCATCGTTTCGAGACCTCAGGATGTCGAAGTCCTTTTTTAAAGAGGCCATGGTAGCATCCTTCGTCTTCAGCTCATCCATCTGCAAACAACATCACGGTTCTCACACAGACCACGACAGGAATGTTACGCTGACGAGCTCATCGGAAAAGCGCAACAACCCCGAATGACTTAAACGACAATAGTTGTTGTGCTTAATGCTTTATGTCGACGCTGATGATCCTAAAAATCGGTGATCATTGACGATACAGCCGCTTCGTTAAGTGTACAGTTGTAGAAGACCACCACCTGATGAACTTGACTTTCAGCTCCGGACTGCAGACGTTGGACGTAGTTAGGTAACCTTAACCTGTCGTAATGGGATCGCCGTCCTAATAATACCCCGGCCAGGCAAGGTTGGCCTTAGCAGATGCGAAGCGACGGCGGCGGAGGCCGCTGTCCGCACGCTCGGCGACCGTCCCAGAGTCGCACGCTCCCCTCCGGTCACGGTCGCCGTCGCCGGCAGGACGTCACGAGGCCGTCTGTGACGCAGACGGGGCCGCGTCTCGGCGGCCGGCGGCAGTGACGCGCGCGCGCGCGCGGGCCGGCTGGCCCTGGCCAGGGTCAGGGGTCGGGTCGCGGCCCGCCGGAAGTCCCACGCACGGTCCGCCGGCCGGCAGCAGCGCCCGCAGAACCGCGGCCCAGGCGGCCGCAGACGGCGCCCGGTGCGCATCGCTGGCCCGCCCCCATCTGGGCACGGCGGGGAAATTTGCCGACTTGGCGGTCTCCTAACCACATGATGAGGCGACCTTAGCCGTCCAGTGGCCTCAACCCGTAGGTCACATGCTACACCCTGCCGTTTCGCCCACCGCGTCCGCCAGGTGGGTATTTTGACCTGCTGTTATCTCAGGATATAATCACGGGATCAAAGAAGTTCCGCCACCGGTCGATAACCCTCCGCGCCGGTCAGAGTCTGCCCACCGGCGTTTGAGCATTGCACCACGCTCCACGCTTTCGTAAGGAATCAGGCGGTTTTCCGAAGAAAATATATTTCCGTAGTGGCCGGTTATACGTGCACAACAGACACGCAACGCCAAATATGCGCACGTGCAGTCTCTATTTAATGGCGGTGATTCCAAATCGATGTAATTTGAGCGATGGCAGTACCGAAGGGATTCAATAAAGCAGGGTCAGGCTTTTTAGCATAAGGAAGGACAAAACAAAACCCGCAGGCAGTTCAGCACCTCTAACACCGTCACTGCACTTTTTACGGGTATAGTATTCTCCAGACGCGCATCTGGAAATGGACCTACACCAGTTCTGTTGGATATGCAAAGGGTGTCATTTCGATGTCCATAAAATGCAGACGGTAACAGAGAAAGTATAAAGGGACATGTATGAAATTACTTTATCGATCCTGCTTGGTTCAGACTTCGATGATGATTGCATATCAACCTTGAAAGTACCAAAAATGTATCATATTCTTTTGAATTAAGTAAAAATAAAGGTTGTACGACCTGGTTCGATCCTTGCACAAACAACAGACCGCGGGCATTTGAACTAACCTGCTGAATAAATTGTCACAAAGATGTTGAATGGATAAACAGGCTTAAAAAACAAGTATTTGGGACAACTGTGCCTTATTCTTTCATGATATTGTACTTGATCATTTGTAGCAAAGCCAGTTTTAAGCAAACCTTAGCAGAAAACAAAGCAGAACTGGAGCCTGGACAGCTACTGTCTGATGGCCATGTTTCACTTCTGCGCGCGCACATTTCAGTCTAGCAGAAGCCGGTTGTGACGTCATTTAGTCTGCCACAATGGCAGTATCATCCCTTTCACTTTAACGGAGTCGTGGTATTACAAGTAGAGTAAAATATCCCCTAATCAACTGAATCTTCTGAAGACTTTGAGGCCTCTTGCGCCCAAAATAATGTGCATGCAGCTTTGAAATCGCTACTAAGCAAGCAGTTATATTCCTGTGTACCAGAAACAGTACACTTATCATAAACTTGGCATGCATTCATTTAGAGATATTCGAGCGATATCGAGGTTAGCGGACGCGATTCCTCAGCTGCATCGGAGAAGAGTCTGGAATGGAGTCACGTGGTAGACGTCCTGCGGCTAAATCGCGTCCTGAGGTCATCTACGGCATAACGAAGTAAATCACGCTTATCACGTGCATCACTTCAGGTCAGGATAAAGGCAGAAATAAGGGCCACTGCCAAGTCAAGTCATGACAGATTACGAATTGTCTGCGTGTTCCCGGGGTGTGCGTAGTTGCGCATCCTGGGCAATCCTCCCAGGCACATGACCTACTGGACCCCTGTCACCACACGGCCGCTCGTCATTGGTCTAAAATATGCTTTCGGTGTGCCGAACATTTTGCATAAAATGAAAAACCACTCAGATATGAGTTGTGTCCTGTGTACACTACGATTTAGCAGCGTATCTCCCGGAAAGAACATGTGCACACGCCAGTTTAAAAAAAAAAATGCATAAAATGTCAGGTTTGGCCCGTGACCTCTGTACTAAAATACAGAAGACGAACAAGCTGGTGTTTTGTGCTGATGCTGTAGCATGACAGAGATGAGATTTTAAATGGAATGTTCCTTAATTGAAGATATGGAAGGAAGCATCAGATATGATGAAAGAAGCTCACCCATTTATCATATCATATTATTATAACTTTTGATGTATTTTCGAGCGGAGCAGACTGCTCTACGAAACACAATTTCCCTAAGTAGTACATATGTTCCTCGATGCGCTATTGTCTGATCACGTCATGGAGTATTTGCACTACGTTGAGGTGCTACCAAACTAGCCGCTGAAAATTGCCACCCTGGCACTAACATGTAGCACTTAAATTCGCCGAGCGATGGCAATGGAGGTGCTGGAAGTGTTCACTGAGCCAAATATTTGTGCTTTTAGGACCTTTCTCGTGGCGTTCTTGCATATTTATTGGTGAGTTTAACAACTGCACTGGTATTCACATGTTCAGCTATTGCGCTTTTAAGTGATTCGATTTTCCGTAACAACTAGCAGCCATGTCCAGCTTCTTATACCATGTAACACAAGATGTGATTTGTGATTGAAACCTGCACAGCTTGCTCATCATTGATTGAGAGCTCATTGATCTCCACCATATTTGGATACTGTGCTCACGGAAGCCAACTCTGAACCGCTCAACGATAACATCGGTTTTGGCCTTCCACGCCGCATGACCAGTGGGGTGGTAATGACGTTGCTTTAGCGACATACATGCCTGAATAGCTTTGAAATGGTCTGCACGAAATAGCCTGCACATCTTCGCGGGCGTGTACCTAAGAAACTAGTGGGTTTTAGGTTTATAGAAGGGCCGGACTGTAAACTGCACTGAAAGATCTTCAACATGGCCAATTCAGCTCAACCCCCATACAAATGTAGAGGACAAATGTGGAACTGGTCTTGGAAAATGCGTTGCCGGCCCTTTTATTAATCGGGCACCTTCAGTTACAATTCAGCAGCTTGTAACTAGCAACCTTGGATGAATCTGTGTCCCTGCGGCACATGTGGCAAACTGTGGATTGCAGCATGTGCCATTCTAGTGGAGCAGGTTCAGATTCGGTCCTCTTCGAGGACTTGTGGGTCAGATTTTGCCAAAAGTATCGCACTATTTGACCTGATGCACCTCGTGCCTTTTAAGATCCTTTAAGCATCGAAAGCAGATGAAGAAAGTCATGTTGATCTCATGCGGCAGTTTTTTACAACTCAAGGAGATATTTTTATTGACCCAACATCATCCCTCTCGGAGAGATTGCAGTGCTGCCAGTGCAACTGATGGGGGGATCAGCCAGCAGCTGAATTCATTGGCAAACTACATGGTCCGTTGTCCCTTAACTTCTTGGTGTTATTGAGGGCCAAATGACGTGCATGATCAAGTGAGTCCGCGAAGTAGGCGGTCAGCCAGTGGTACAGCTTTCCTGCTCCTGCTTCGGAATAGTAGGTAGCTATTTCCTGACCGGACGTGGCTCGCCCATCTCGGGGTGAGACAACACATGCGCTTGCGGCAGGAGTGTGGCAAACGGCGCAAACTCAGCGCGTTTGCGGGTGTGGCAATACCGGGCGGGCGCTGAACGTGTTATCAGCGTATCATCGAGTTTTCAATGACCGTGTGATTCCAAGGCGATAATTCCTCGTGCAGGAGGGACATTCTGTACATTTTGTGATGATGCTCGCCCACATATCGCACTGACACCACTCAGCATGCTGAATGGTCACATTCCACTACTCAGGTTAACATAGAGCTGTGTAGCTTAAATGGAGCCCAGCTTGAGGTCTGCGAGACAGCTGATCTGTGCGGGCCTGACCTGCGCGGTATGACAGTGGTATGTCGTTGTATGTCGCACCCCAGCGTGTTGACAGATGAAGTCCGACCTAGTGTGTTTATTCGATGCAGTTTGGTGGACAGAAAAGTGAGAAGAAGGAACCAAACTAAAAGGTTCGATGCCCCTGAACTGTCCGATGTGACCTCACCCGGGTTCCAACCCAGGCTGCGCAGGCTGACATTCGTCATCTAAGATGAGCTGCTGATAGAGCTTGCTGGGATGGAAACTGGTGGCATCATCGAACAGATCGACGTCTGTATATGAGCGGTACCGATAGCAGTCGGGAGAAGTAATTATTGCGGCATTTGGGTCTTTATGGAATTCCGATGGGTAGACAGTGTAGTGGTCGCTGACGGACACCTTCTGCCTTACATGGACGACCTACTCCACTTGCCGCATGACAAGACCCCATACATTGCTGCAGGACGGGACACATACACTGAGCTCAGTTACAAAGATGCATCCTACCAGGGGGAAGGGGGGGGGGGGTGGCGATGCCTCCAGGGTTGAGCAGCATGGTGGCCTTCAGTAGGCGTAGAGGGCTAATCTGCACGAAGATCGCGATAGCAGTTTTACGGAATAATTGAAACTCGCCATTTGGTGCTGGTAGATCACTATCGTGTTTTAAGGACACCATAAATGTTACATTTTACAGTGCAGGTGTTGTAATATATTTTGATGATGTCTCAGGGCGAAGGGACCATAAGCTCCGAGCATGATGAATATATGGCGCGTG